TATTGATATAAATCACAATATAAAATCATCTATATTCATGCGTAGAAGATGTTCAAAAATTTTTATGCCTAGGTTAATGTACAAGTTATTGATATATCATTTTACTAAAACCAACGAAAATAAACAAAAAGAATTTAGATAAAAAGTAATCTAATTTCAAATTAACCAACCTATTAGACAGAAAAAAAAAACACTTGAGATTAATCTCACTAACTCATGTATTTTTATCCCTAATACATTTACAAAATAAAGATATTATGACATGCTAGCATTTTGTTATATAGGTTAAATATTTCAATCATAATTTTAGCTCATGTATTTTTATCCCTACTACATTTACAAAACAAAGACATTATGAGATGCTAAGACTATGTTATATAGGTTGAATATTTCAATCACAACTTTAACATCACAATCCGCGGGTAGCGCGAGACAAGACCTAGTTTAAATAATAAATGATTATTTAATATAAAAATACACTAAATTATATTATTTATTGAATTTCTTAATTGTTGCGCCACAACCTTAAACCTAGGTTGCATGGAAACTCCGACTAAAGTCCGTTTTCTGTTTCAAGAAATTTCAGGAAACACAATGGAAACGTGGTGGAAACGCATTTCTTGAAATTTTTAATTTGGAAACGTGATGGAGACGCGATGGAAACGACTTGAAAATGCAATAAAAACGCGATCTTTGATTTGGAAAAAAAAATGTAAATACTTTGAAAAATTCAAGATCTATTTGTTATTTTAATAAAATTTAAAACCTAATTATAAAACACTCATATTTTCTTTTTTTCTAACTGTTTGACTGTAAGTATTGTTTTTTTTAATCTTTTAGTTAAACTATTTAATATTTATTTATTGGATTTGTGTTGTTTTAAATCTTTTTCTTTAATATTATTTTAACTTTTGATATTTTTTGTTTTACGATATACTTATATTTTATTAATACATTTATATATATGCTTCCAAAACTTTTTCGTTTTCTCTTTTTTCTTAAAAATTTGTTTCCACATTTCCTAACGTTTCGTTCCCGTGTACTATTTTCTGATTCCATGCGGTTTAGCCTTAAACATCATGTATACGTCAAACTTTGAACTTTATTAAGAAAAAACTTTAACCGTCTTTTACAAAGACGTATCTAGAAAGGGAACAAACAAACCCTTTAACGCAACTGAATTAAGGAACTTGTTCGAACACCCAAAAAGCAACGCTTGTCTTGAATAGTGGAGAAGTTTCCAAAAGGCAGAATGAAACTTCAAATACACAATAAAGGAAAGAAATAAAAATACACAAACGTGAAGCAAACACGATTAAAACATTTAAATGCATCTGAGAGCCTAAAATAGCTATGAGATTCATATAGCTTAAGTGCTCAACATCCTCATTCACTTTTGTTTTGTCTCTCCAGCTACTCCTCACCAGCTCCATTGTTTTGAAGATTTTCTTCGAGATTGTTTATGCTACAAATCAAGAAAAATGACTTAGAAGAACCGGGTAAATTAATGTATCGCGAAACTTATTTTCTTTACCGAATACTTACAACTTCTCCACCACAACAAACGAACGGAGCTCACAATTGTGGAAACTGCATGGGTTAGAAGTTTGGGATGGTGAGAACAAAAACAAATATCAAATTATCAAAGAGAGAAGAAGATTAATCTACTCTATAAAGCTAGCTCACCGGCCTGAGAATTGTCTTTTCACAGCTTCATCACATTCGTTTTGAAATAATCCTAATGTATAATAAAAGAAAACGCCATGAGAAACAACCGCAATCTCCTTCTCTGGCCTTGTAAATAACCTGAACAACAAAAAGAGAATCATATATGTAAACGTTATCATAATCATAAAACTAACATTCAAGTATACGTACATAGCAGCTTATTGTGGATACTCTCACCATTTCAAGAATCTCACACCTCTTGCCGCAATTTCTTGGGCAGTCTCTGCCCTCTCAGGGTTCCACAAAACATCTTCCTCATCTGTTATCTGCATATAGAATTCGAGACAATTTTATTTTTCTAGAGACGGACTAATAAGGTTTAGTCATGGTACACAAACAAATGGTTAGCAAGGTACTTGCCAATGAAAAATCAACCGCGGGGAATAGTGACACGTAGTATGTTTTATTCCTTCTTCTGTCACAGGGATGAAGTTCCTGAAACCCAAAAGCAGAACATTTTCAGTCGTCTTAACTCATAAGCAACTGCAAATAACGCAAAGGGTGAAATGTAAACCGCACCATTCCTTCTCGGCAAAGTTCATGAGCAACGAACGGTTTGCAATTTAAGTTTGAAATTGCAGGACGGTTGCTGTTTCCAGCTCCCTCAATCATAAGTGGAGGACTTTCACCAACATCACCTTCCCCACCAAATATTCCTACTGCAGTTTGCAAAGTCCTAGAAACACAACACAAGCATTAAGTTTCAATCAACTGTTTTTTATCAAAAAAACAAAAAAAAGTTTCGATCAATTAGTTTTTTTTTTTTTAATTCTTTTACGTGAGTTTTATTATATATTGTTTGAGTTTTTCTTGAGTTTTAATTTTACATTAATCGAGACGCATATTATAGCCTAACTTAGGTAGATTTGTAAGTCCATTGGAAGATATAATTTAAGCGAATATATATATATTTTTAAACTTATTTACGCAAATATCTTTTTTTGTTTTTCCGAGAAACAATTACGCGAATATTTAAAGGCTAAAAATTCTTTTCAAAACATTACAAAATTAATCTTCGCTAAAATAACTTTTATCTTGAACAAAACATATTTTAAGTTTACCAATTATGTTGTGTAATGGTATAAATCATAACGATTCAAATTTACTACAATTTTAGTATTACTTCTGGATTTAAGGTAACTTCAGTTTCAAATATTCGCGATCATTTTAAGACATCGGTTGCATTTTAGCATGAAGAAAATATATTTTAATTTCTTAATCCGATTGAATCGATTTAATCAGGTACTCGAGAAAATTTTTTGCATTACATTTTGATACGGTTTTAAAAGTAATACGTAAATATGATCTGACTTTTTAAAAAGAACATATATACAGAACAACTTATCTAAACTGTAATATCACAATTCTCTAATTTATTGAATAATATGGTATGACTATATGTGGCTGAATTACTATAGATAAGAACAATAAAAAATATGTGGTACATTTTATCCTTGCATATAACACAGTTAGCATAAAAATATATAAACTTTCCAACATATAATAGTTAACGTATCATTTAAACAAAAATTTAGAAAATGACTTATAAATGCAAATAGTTTTTATTATTTTAATAAGTCATTTTAATATAATACCATGGTTTAAGTGAAAACTAGAGACACAATTTTATTTTTCTGGTTTTTGTAAAAAAAAGCCACAACAGGCTTAGGTCGTGACCGTCTGGATGTACCTGAGCAGAGGCGACACAACGACCAACTCAACTCCACCAAAGATCCCGTCTTCCCTAACACTCATGCGTCGTTGATCAACCTGCAATTACAGCATTCACATGATTGCTCTAAGTGCATTATTACAAACAATAGAAGGATTTTGTTTTTGCTAATTTGTTTAGTATTTTATCAAGTTCAGTTATAAAGTTTCAAAAAAAAAAATGTTCAGTTATAATATTTGGTGTAAATCCCTTGTTTACCGTTTGACCCCATTAACAAGAACGTAAAGCTATGGAATGTTCCATATTGTATGAATATTTATTTTTGTTTGCTGTCATTATTCTCTTATGTGTTGATCTATAGCCCTTTTTCATATATCCATGTTTTGTCATTGTTTTTGTATAATTTTAAAAGAGTTTTTGGATTAATTTTTATTGATTACTATATTAACATATAAATTATAAAATAACCCCGATCAAAAAAGTTTCTAGATCCGCCATCCGCGATCCAATCAGCGGGTTTTTTTTTTTNTTTTTATCTATAAGTTTCAAAGAAAGATAGCATACTAAAGAAGATCATATATGGTATTGAACTATTGATGACCAATTACTTCAAAAATTCTCGCACAAAAAAGAGTTTGAATTTACATTTAAAATAATATACTACGTAATTAGAGTGTAATATTTTTTTTAAATGGCCCAAAAGAGACCCAAATTTCTAATTAATTTGAGCCAGCCATGGCCCATGATCACATGATTACAAATTTACAGTTTAGTATAGAACAAAAACTCTAACGTGTATACAAATTGTTATGCAGGTGAAAACCGATAAAGATGCCTAGCAAATTACCTGACTCCATCCATCATCTGTAAGCTCTGCATCAAAGTAATCTTCCAAAAAAAAGACGGCAGGTACATCCTCACGGTTTGGCACTTCGTCTGCTGCTGCATTGTGAGTCCCTTCACCATGCCTCACCTAAAGAACCATAAAATATATTGGAATCTGAAACCAAACCTAAACATTGGGAAGAAAACATATCCAAATCATACAAAGAGGAACAAACCAAATGTATGGTTTTGCAACGACCCAGTGGGTAAACACCTTGTTCGACCGCCATACCCAATCTTGATTCATCCACAAAACCATCATATCATAAATAACCTATGAAAGCGAGAGGGAAAGAGCGAAAAAGAGAGACAAAGAGAGAATTACCGTGAGGGAAAGATTAGAAACAAAGTTAGACGAAGCCAAGGAAGGATTTGAGAAAATTTAATAGGGAAGTCGCCAAGTGTGATTCATCGTAGGCTTCAGCTCTTTTATGTGTTATTTATAATTGCACGACATAGACAACTTTTGGAATAAATTCGACTTTCGCAGCACCTTCTTGGGCTTCTATTGACTTCATTTAATATTGACTTTAAATAGTTAATGACTTCAACTAATATTGACTTTAATTAGTTAATGACTTCAATTAATATTGACTTTATATTAAATAATGTTATCTAGTGTATTTTTTTACAGGGGGTGAAAGTTAATAATTATGGTGGAAGAACAAGATTGAATTACGGATTCCTTAAATTATTCTACACCAGGTTTGGATGCAATTCTAGAAAAATGCATTTTTTTTCTTTTATAAATTGTAGATGTCTATATTTTGAAAGTTTAAACGTGGTGTCTTGTAATTTTTTTTTTTTTTGTTGGGGCAAACAGTGTGTTGTAATTTAATCGCCCCTTATGTATATTTATTTTATAGTATAGTTGGTTCC